TTTTTGGTTGCAGCCATCATTGTTGTTTGGTGGGCCTGGGCTGGATTCAAACCTGCCAGCTCAGGTCTATGTGGCTGGCACCTTAGCCACTTCAGCCATAGGCGCCAACCCAACTCTATCCATTTTTAACCTATTCAACATTTACGGAAGAATTTGTCTCTCTCAGAGACAGTGAGCTTGGGTATTAAGGCTAATAAAAATGTTGACTCTCAGGCACTTTAAAAAAATTATTATTAAATTATAGCTGTGCACATTAATGCAGTCATGGGGTACAATGTGCTGGTTTTATATGTAATTTGAAATATTTTCATCAAACTAGTTAACATAGCCTTCATGGCATTTTCTTAGTGATTGTGTTAAGACATTTATATTCTACATTTAGTAAGTTTCACGTGTACCCTTGTAAGGTGCATGGTAGGTGTGGTCCCACCAATTACCCTCCCTCCACCCATTCTTCCCCCTCCCCTCCCCTTCCCCTTTCCCCATATTCTTGGGCTATAATTGGGTTATAGCTTTCATATGAAAGCTATAAATTAGTTTCATAGTAGGACTGAGTACATTGGATACTTCTTCCGTTCTTGAGATGCTTTGCTAAGAAGAATATCTTCCAGCTCCGGGTTTTTATTGTCTGTTTTTCCTTATAAAAATATAAATCTTCAAAAAAAAAATTAAAAAAAAGAAAAAAATATAAATCTTCACCTGGGAAGATGATTTCTTCTAGCTCGTAATTGTGAGATGTTTGCCTTAAATACATAGCCCTGAGCTTCTCAGCCTTTATTCTGTCTTGTCACGGTTCACATGGACATTTATTATATTTCCACCACTAACACCCTTCTGTAATCCTGTAGCCACTCAAAGCATGGAGAAGCACTGTACGTAGGCATCTAAAAGGACTATGTAGTTCGGAAACAAATCCCAGGAGGTGCTGACACAGCCCTCACATATCTCTTCAGGTAGTTTTTGCTCGCATGACTAAGTACCATAATCACTGAGTCCTCAAATCTAGTCCTCAAAGTGTTCTTGACACTTTGCAGGTTGCAATAAATATTGTTAAGTGAATAAATAAACAAATAAGCTATTATGAGCCCATGTTAGAAAATGAACAATTGAGGTAGGGCAGGTCCCTTTGTGATATTCAGAAAGTGAAGCTCGTTGCCAGCCAAGAAAAATAGCAGTTTTTCTTTCTCCTCACCAACTTACCCAACGTTGGTCCTGGAGGATGAGAAATGCACCATGTATGATAAGGTAGGACAAAAACATTACAGTCATTATTCATGTTTTTCCTCCCATAAACCTTAAACTAGTCCCCTCAGAAGCTTAGGTGAAATATGTTCAATTTTTTTTTCATTTTTTTTTTTTTCATATCCTAAAGGTAGGCCTTAGGGACTTTAAAAAAGAATTACCAAAATTTTCTTTTTACTTTTATTCTAGGTCAAAATGTAGGTATCTTTGTTATTTCAGTGGAAGAAAAGGTTAATTTTAAAGAAAAGACATACACTAAAACATGATAGATGGGTTTCTAAGGAACATCAAAAAACAGAGTTTGCTTGGGTTTTCTTCAAATTAGAGATGCATAAGAGGCTCTAACTTTTTCTTGTGGCACCTAATTCACAAGGGGAAAAGAAATTTCAAAATTCTTTTTTCTTTAGCCCCTGAAAATCAATAGCTCTTCAACTGAGGTTGGAGAAAGGAAAAGGCAAATCAGATGGGAAAGAACCAGAGGCTCTTTTGGCAGCTGCTATTCCATGGATCCTTGTCCTTCCTCCTGTTAAACCAACAGATTTCAAAGTCAGGCCTTTGTCAAAGGGTGTCTCCTTTGCACTCTGTGAGGTGGAAATCAGTGATTGTTTACTTTCATTTACCAGCTTTCTTAAGCTGTGGCTTTGCATTCATTTGAAACTAAAATATCAAGGCATTAAATGTACTATTTTTTATATGATGTTGAAATAGAAGCTTCTTATGTCAATCAGAAAAGTTATTTAAGTTGACTGAAGACCATATTGTACTCTAGACTACTAAATATCCTAATTATTTTCCATCTGAAATCATACTGAGTTGTACTATTCACTGACTCCCCTAAAAATAATCTATTTAGTGGGCTAGGACACATATACTGAGCCTTTCATTGCAGTTATAGATTTTTTTTGAAAATCTGGATCCCCAATACTTACATTATCTCTATTTGTAAATGACTCCTTCTTTCTGCCATGGTCATTTCCTGATAGCATTTCAACAAAGCTTCTACAAAGGGAAAAAACTCTAGATAACGATATGTTTTGCTGCCACTTATCTCCAGATAAGTTTCCCTGGTGATTTAGGTTAGACTTGATAGATCTTTTTGTGTGTATGTGTGTGTTTGTTTGTTTGTGTAGAAATAAACCTAAATGTAGTCTGAGATCACTAAAATTAGGCCAAAGAAATTCTTATTGCATCCTTATCACACATCTATAGAAAATAAATCTAAGAGCAAGTTTGCAAGACTTATTTGCTAGTATCTACCTTATAAGTGTTTTAATCTGTCTATCCTAGTTTATTTTTTTTTTTGGAGGTGGAAAACCTAGAAAGATATAATTTCTAACACATCTAAACATGTCATTGTCTGGGAGAAAGTTCATACTCCTAGCATCATAGCCCCTCTCTGTAAAATGTCTGTAACTCAGATATCACAGATATTGACCATTGTTTTCCTTGAGAGAGGATTGAGTGGTGGTCTGAATAAAGAAGTAGACAGGAAACTAGAGATACTATCAGTTATCCTGGGTTATACTTGTTCAGACATTTTGTGGTGAGTTCTGACAGTGCACTGGATTTCACTTTGTGAAGTTAAAGAAATGTGTGTATGTTTGCAAATGACAGTGTGGGGAAAGCAAAGATGGCCACAATGATGGTAAGAGATGCCAATTAGACAGAGAAGCTCTGTTTGTGGTGGCTAGGTGCACACAGGGGAGACATCTGGATCACATATTATTTATGTCAACCTATACAATTAGCTTATTTCCTGTGCCTTGTAGAATTGTTATGAATATTAAGTAATCTTCGTCTGTAAAACTTGTCTAATCACTCAGTTGCACCCAATGTTTGTCTATGAATTCCACTGGTGTTTACTGAATGTACTGTGCATTTGGAACTCCTTGTTTTGTGTTATAAGTACTGCATCTCCACTTCCTGGCCTTTTACTTTCCCCCATTACATATATCTATCTTATACTTATTGATGATGATAATGATGATGATGATGCTACTGAGGAGGGACTATGGCCACAATAAACATCAGATCTTAAAACCAAACTTGAAGTCATATTTTGAGGCGGTGAAACATGCGGACAATGGCTTGGCGGATCTCCTTGGTCTTGGCACTGTAAATGAGAGGGTTGAGCACAGGAGGCACAAACAGGTAGACATTAGACATGAGGACATGTATGTAGCGTGGGGCATGCTTCCCAAAGCGGTGCACTGTGGAGACCCCAATCATTGGTACATAAAATGCAAGTACAGCCAGAATATGTGACACACATGTGTTGAGAGCTTTGAGGCGTTCCTCACGGGAAGCAATGGCCATGACAGAGCGCAGAATTAACACATAGGAGAGGGAGATAAAGAACAAGTCCATGCCAAAGGTGGATACAAGCACAAAGAGTCCATAGATGCTGTTGATAGTAATATCGGAACAAGCAAGCTTCATCATGTCTGGGTGGAGGCAGTAGGAGTGGGAAAGAACATTGGATCTGCAGATAGGCAGCCTTTTGATAAGGAAGGGAAGAGGGAAGAGGGTGATGAAGCTCCGGACAGTCACAGCTAAACCCATTCCAGCAATGACTTCGTTGGTGAGCACAGTGGCATAGTGCAAGGGATCACAAATAGCCACATAGCGGTCAAAACTCATGGCCAGCAAAATACCCGACTCCATCATGGAGAAGGAGTGAATGAGAAACATCTGGACTAGGCAGGCATCAAAGGTAATAGTCTGGGCATCCAGGCAGAAGGTTCTGAAAACAGTGGGCAGTGTGGCCATGGACATGGCCACATCACTGAAGGACAGCATGGATAGGAAGTAGTACATGGGCTCATGGAGTCTGGGCTCCACCCGCACAGCCTGCAGAATCACTGTGTTTCCACCCAGAGCCACAGCATACATCACACAGAGAGGGCCTGCTAGCCAGGAGTGAGAGCTCTCCAGACCAGGGATACCAGTCAGCAGGAAAAAAGCAGGGTGGGTGGCATTGAACAATCCCATGGCAGGACTAACTTAGGGCGCTCCTCAGGGCCAGAGCTTCCGATGTGGAGAATGGTTCTGATGGGATGATAAGAAATAAGGCAGTGGGACACAGCAATAATGTCTACACAAGTTGGAAACTGATGCACTCATGAAATCACAGGTTTGGGGAGGATGCTAGCAAAGGTTTCTTCATAGGTTTCTGATCATGAGGTTTCAGGCTGAGTTTTTCCTCTATTTTATGAAAGAAGGAAGACACTGATGAATACTTTGATAATATAAATAGGGTAGAAGGAAAGTATTTAAACTATATAATCTACAACTTTCATGTTTGTTATAAGCATCATTCAATAGAAACACATTAACTATAATTCCTAGGTAGTCATGATTGGAGAAAATCAGAAGTTTGAATCACGAATAGCTTTTGGAAGCCCTTCAATATTTTCCTGAGAGTGTTTTTTAATTGTGTGTTGTTAGTTAATGAGAGAACTTTCCAGAGCTAGTTTACTTGGCTGGAGAGGGAAAGGGGCTGACGGTGTGGAATTAGTTACTTCTGGAAATAGGTTTACCATTGGCAGAGGAAATATATATATATATATTTGTTTTACAAAGACACAAAGTTATTTGTTTTTGGAAAATTGAGTGTAGAAAATTAGTAAAAGAATAATTATTTTTCTATGTATAACATAGGCACCCTAGCCTTCAGTCTGTGGGAGAACATTGTTCCAAAAACCCTTTCAAGATACTCTCAAGATACTCATTATTTATATAGACATATCTATGTACCTTCATAGCAGCTTTATACTGGATCTCACTCAGGCTCCAACAAATTACTCACCCACAACACTGTCTCCATCTCTCATATTTTTGCTACTTATGTAGAGAAACATTTTTTTTTTTTTTTTGAGACAGAGCCTCAAGCTGTCCCCCTGGGTAGAGTGCCGTGGCATTACAGCTCACAGCAACCTCCAACTCCTGGGCTCAAGCGAGTCTCCTGCCTCAGCCTCCCAAGCAGCTGGGACCACAGGTGCCTGCCACAAGGCCTGGCTATTTTTTGGTTGCAGCCATCATTGTTGTTTGGCGGGTCCGGGCTGGATTCGAACCTGCCACCTTAGGTGTACGTGGCTGGCGCCTTAGCCAGTTGAGCTACAGGCGCCGAGCCCTGTAGAGAAACATTTACACGCTCCTCTTGACCTTTGTGCTCTTTATCACACACTTGTTTTATCTGCGCATACTCAGTCTGCACTGACCCATGCAGTATTTACATATGCACACACTCTCAGTTGTACGCACTAGATTCGTATATTCACATAACATTTTCATTTATGTGCTTGCAGACTTCTCACTGTTATTACTCAACTCTCCCACTAAGATACCTTTCTAAACCCTTATATATCATATTTAATCATGATTTTTCTTACACTAGTACTCACATATTAATTCCTACGGCCATATCCCTGTGAGAAGGTTAAAGTGTATATTCTCCTATGATTGAGATGCTTGTGAAATGCTTTCATGTGTACTGCCCCATGGTAAATTCAGATAGAGAAGGCTGGAGGGCTTTTCACCTGGCCAACTTGTGTTAGGCTTATAGGGCACCCCCCTTTGGAAGGACTCTAGAAATGTGTTCTACTGTTTTCTTGTTCCTTCCTCTCCAGTCTTTAACAAAACAAAGTCAGACCATGCTCTCAGTGCTCTTTCTGTCACCTACTGTGGATATTGCAAGGGTACATGTCAAATATATTGAGAGTAGCGTATAATTGTCTAAACACAACAATTAAATAAATGAGATGAATGCTATGTTAACCAGTTTGATGTAAACATTCCAAATTGTATACAAAATCAGCACATTGTATCCTATAAAGGCAGTAATGTATGTAGTTATGATCTAATACAAAAAAAGCTGGAAAAAAACAGAGGTGGGAAGGAAGCTCTAGCTATCTTAAAGTGACAGAGATGCTGGAATGGTGTGCAATGCAGCATTGTCTCTCTAGGAAGTTTTTGGAATATTCCCTGTCAATAAAGTACTCAGATGCACTATGGTTTCCAGCAAGTTATTCCACTGATTACATCCATTCCTGAACGTATGCAATGTGCTAGGTACCCTGCAAAAAACTTTGTATGCATTTACTCATTTAATCCTTGATAGATGTAGACACTCCCGTCCAGTGAGATTAGCTTGTCTTGTAGTTCACAGTTAGAAGGTGATAAAATTGAAAAACAAGAAGACTTACAAGACTCTATTCTCTTACCAAGGTCTTTGAGGCATCATTAAGACAATGGAGAAAAAACTGAAAAGAAAAATAGAGATGTGCATTTCTGAATGACGATTTCTCAGTCACCGTCTGATAGGGAGTAAATGGCTAAAGACAGAAACATATGAAGGAAATGAATGAAAAAGTACCTGTTTCCAGGCCAGATTCAATTTCTTCAGCTCCTGGAACCCAGAATAATTGTATTATGGTAACTATAGAAGAGCCAGAGTCATTTTGGGGAAAGGATTCTGGGCTGAGTGTCACAAGTCTTAGAATTTAACCCTGGAGTGGGTAGCAGCTCTGTAAACTTGGAAAAAAAAACCCATTTCTCTTTCCGGACCTGTGTCTTCTTTAAGGGTACTTTTTGTTTATTTGCTTTTAGGAAATTCTCTAGGGTCCTTTATGACTTGGATGTTCTTTTATTTTCTTTTCTGTTTTAATTTCTGGTTAAGCAAAGAATGCCTGTGAGAGTTAGTGAGGGTGCTGATAGGTCGCAGAAAGGAAGTAGAGAGGGCCTGGTGGGATGTATAGAGAAGCTTTCTAAAGACTGTACCTTTCTATCTCTATCATGAATAGTAAGTGGGTGCAAATAATTAGCTGTTTGTGCTTCATGTAAAGTTCACGGGTAGGTAATTTCTCCTGTTCTTTTAAACTCTTGGGTTCTTTTCCGTATTTTGTTACCTTATAATTCACAAGGCAAGAGCAAAGTTAGAGCATGTGTGCTTTAGCTGTTAGTTTGTCACAGGATGAGTTGTGACCACTTTGTTCCCAGATTTCTGAAACTTTCCTTTGCCTGGGGTCTTGCTTCACTCTCTGTATTTGGAGCAATATTAATAAATGTTAGAGACATTGACTTTTGAAGTTTGGAGTTCGAGGGATGTTGGGTCCCATCTGGGGTGCCATTTGTCGTGGCCTAGTACTGGCCAGGTCTCCAACCCTGGCTTCTCTATGGTCCTAACGCAGACCGCCTTGCTATTTCTCCCTTGGGAACAATTACCCTTAGGTGCCTTAGGAGTATTTGCCTTAGCAGAAGGGAGAGAGAGAGAGACAGTATTTGAGAAAGACAAGCAGTGTTATTAAGAGAATGAATCCTAGCAGTCTTGGTAGAGAGACGCTGTGCAGGCAGGAGAAGAGACAGAGTCAGAGTAAGCAGGTCCATGAGAGAATGCACACTCGCTCCCAACTGCCTTCTCCTGCCCTTTCTTATAGACGTAATCCCATGGCTCTTTCACTGGGGGTGTAGAGACTGCCAACCCCTGATGCTCTCATCTCACAAGCTCTCATGTTCTCGTGTTGAGAGCCGAAACCCTTCCCCATGCCCTTATCACCGTATTATATTACTGAAATGTTACCGGTGTTTCTTACATAGTGTTCTGAGCTTAGCTCTCTGTTCTCTGTGCCATGAGCTATATGGTCTGTTACAGAGGGAAATGTGTAATAGTAAGTGGAATGTCTAGAGAAATGAAATGAATTGCTCAGGGTTATACAATTAGTTGCTGGCTGTGCCAGAACAAGACCCCCAAGGTCTTGCTCACTCTAACATGCTGCTATCAGATTCCCTCCAGCCAGTCTCTCCCACTTCCTCTTTCCTAGTTCACTTGTTTCTTGGAGCAAGCTTGGGGAGAATTAGCTGGCTTAGTGCTATAGGGTTTCAGAACTCACCAGAAGTCAGACAGACGAGAGCCACCCACAGAACAAGTCCTCCTGTTTATCTGCTAAAGTGAATTCACACCTCCCACTTTTATATCCCACTCTAAGCCTCAGGATGAGGAACGGGGAAGTGACACTGTTTTGCACCTGAAAACTCTTCAGGGAGATTTTATTCTCTAGAGGTCTTTAATGACTATTGAGTATAAAGCATTTCTTCTCCTTTAGCTGAAAAAGAACTCCTCAACAATTTGTCAGAATAATTCTCTTCCCAAGCAAGACACCATCTGCTGGTGGATGGGCTGGCACTATAAGGGAAGAGTTCATTTTCTTCTGAGAGATTCTGGGCGTGTAGAGTATGCTGACTGTCTAACAGTGGAAGTGAAATTAGAAAATAAGTGTTTTTTTAATTTTTTTTTTTTTACATTTCAGATTTCTGTGAGAGCACAGGTGATTAGGTTTCATTGTTCATGTTTGTTAGGTGGAGCCCAAGTTCTAGTTGTGCCCCTCACCTGGGAGGTATAACATATCTCATATCCCCTTACATGGTGCCTGTTAGGTGATTCTTTTTGTTCCTGTAAATGTATTGAGTGTAACTAATTCTTTTTCCATTCCTAGATTAAAACTCAATTCCCCACATTTTTTGGTTACATTCAGATAATAAAATATCTATTAGTGAATAATTAGAATGTTCAGCCTCATGGGATAGTGAAACTTTATAGCAGTCAGAGTTCCAGCCTTTCTTCTCTTATCCTTCAATTGCTAACCCTGGTTTCTGGCTTCTCCTCTAGAAAAGTGAGAGGTAGGAAAATGGGAACTTTACAATTCTCTGGTGCTGCTGTTAACTGCTATTGTGTTAACTGGCCATTGTGTTAACTGGCCCTATTAACTGCTTAAAGCTGACTCTTTCTTGCATTTACTACTTTCATAAATTAGTCACAGAAGCATCTCATCATATTCTACTCTTTCATACTTGATTTAAGTTAATATATCTTTACTCTGTATGGTGGCTTAGAACTCTAGCTGCAAATCAGACCACCCTTGGGGAGCCACACTCTCCTTTGGACAGACTCTAAGACAATGCCATGCCTTCTCTCTCTAGTCTATTGGGAAATGGTCAGCCTTCCCCGGAAAAATCAAATGCCTACCCAAATGCAATAATACTA